TTTTTTTTTAAAAAAAAAAAAAAAAAAAAAAAAACAAAAAAAAAAACAAAAAAATGACACAAAAAGTGGCAAAAAATGCACATCTTTTTTAAAAAGAGCATAAAGGTGCGTAAGTTTTCTTGCGGACTTTGTAATCAGCAGAAATAATCGAGAAATAATGAAAATCAGGATTAGGACTTTAACTTTTCCAGATTTTCTGGAATATAAAAATTCAAAAATGTCTAACAGAAAAGATACTCCTGCTGAAATCTGGGAATGAATAAAGAACAAAAAGTTACTTTATGGCCTCTCTCGTGACAATTGTGACACACTATGCCATGATTGTACTGTCCTCGTGCCCGTAAAGACTGTGATGGATCAGCCGGCGGAATACTGAACGATGGATGAGCGTATTTGCATTCCTTACCATCCGGGCAAAAACCGGCCAAATAATTCGGACAAAGGACCCGTCGGCGATGTCGATGCTTACAGAACTGTCCTGGAAAAGTTTTCGGTCGAACTGTAAAATATTTCCATCAATGGGGGAAATAGTGCTAATATATCTCGAAATCCTTAAGTAAGGCCCAGTTTTTATTAAATCTTACCATGTCGACAAAATCCACGATCGTACCATGGGCAATCTTTGATTTTGCTTTCCGGGTCAATATGCCGAAAAGGGCATTCACGATTGCTGCACGCCACTGAAAACAAAACACGTACTTGCAACAAAAAAATAAATTTGACGAAGAAGTGTCTCAAAATCATTTCAAAAAAGCCTTCTTCTGAAATTTCTGACATTCTCGGATGAAAATTTTTAAGGCAGATCTCTCCGACTTACTATATTTGGAGAAGAAAAAGCACTCGGGCATTTTGCTTAAGTCATATTCGTGCAAAAACTCGCACTGGTCGCCTTTTTTGCACAGTCCACGTAACCAGTGCTTGCAGACAACTGCCTGAAAACACGCTCTTTTTTTTACCGGTATCTGGAGCGAAGCAAAAAAACAGTAAAATGAAATTAGCTTGCCATAAACATCTTATCCTGGAACTGTGATTTAGCCTGAATACAGTCTGCTCGGCAGAATACTGCTTTTAAAAAAACCGAATGGGTTTCGTGTATCACTGAATTTTGATGTAGACCTTAGGCTAACCATATAAAAGAAAGCGGTTCTCCAGCCAATCTCAGCGCATATAAATCATCGGAGTACTCGGCGCTTAGATGTTTTCGGAAGAGTTTAAAGCTGGCGCATACAAAAAGAACAAACGCAGGTCAAAAACAAAATAAATGGCCAATGCATCTACTGCCGGCACGAAGATGAGTTTTTTGCATAGTTCGCCGCAGGTTTTTATCGCTAATGGCACCGGTTTTTTTGGCAAATGCTTCTAGCTAAGATAATTGAGACTAGCCACCAAGTCTGTCTGAAAAGACCCCTTTAAGATTCCAGCCTCCTAGCTTTTCTAATTTCCGAGTTAGCAACTTACCCGCAAAAAACTTTCACAGGTCCGCACATAGGAACCACGCATATCCGGGGACTGAGTTTGAACTTATTAATATCTGCGTGAACATGGAACATCCCGTCAAAATTCCAGTCTTCTAGTTTTTCAAATTTCCGAGCTAGCAAGTTATTCGGAAAAAACTTTGGCGTGGGTACCACACGGGTAAGAGCGCCCATTCTGGAGACGAAGGACCGTACACGCATGCACATTTAAGTTCCCAAAATTTCAACCCTGTAGCTTTTGTAGTTCTCGAGGTGAAAAATCGGTACAGACGAACATATATACATACACACACACACACACACACA